CTTGGCTTTCAGGTAGTTTAGCCAGGTTTAAAATGTCACAGTTCTAGTCGGACACATTCCAACAGTGTGGCTCAAAGTAAATCCAAGCAGGCCCTGAATGATAATATGGTGGGAAAGGTGAGAAAGGTGTAACATATATATACTTTAAGTATATTAAAAACCACAAGGAGGCTAGAGCAGTGGTTCTCAACCTTCCTAATGTGACAATCCTTTAATTCTTCCTATAGTTCTTCATATTGTGGTGACCCAACTATAAAATTATTTTCATTGCTACTGATGTAATTTTGCTACTGTTATGAACTATAATATAACTATTTTTGAAGATAAAGGGTAGCTAAAGAGGTTGAAACACACAGGTTGAGAACCACTGGCTCACTAGGTAATAGCACATACTGCATGCATTAGTTCCTTCCCTGCTGTGGTGATGATAAAACACCATGAACAGGACACATTACAGGAGAGGTTAAGAGTCCATCATGGTGGGAAAGCAGGAGGAACAGGAGGCTAAGAGCTCACATCATCTACCATAAAAAAGAAGCAAGAAATAACTGGAAGTAAGATAAACTTTTTCATCTCAAAGCTACCACTAATGGTATACTTTCTTCAGCAAGACTGTACTGCCTAAACCTCCTCAAACAGCAGCACAACTGGGAACCAGGTGTTCAAACGCCTGACACTACAGAAACATTGTATCATTCAAAGCAGACACTTAGAGGTAGATTCTCTTAATAAAGTGACTTTTGTCCTAACAAAGCAAAAGATACATCAAATACATAGCCAGTAAGTGTTTAGATATATAACAAAAATTAATCTGAAAAGGGGATATGTAAAGAAGTAGTGGGGCATTATCTATTAGAAAGCCTTGTTAACACTAAACAAATGATATTAACACATGATCTACCCCTCAGTATTTTCATAGTTCTTTATTGATACATACATTTTTCTCAGGCCTTAATACAGAATTTACTCTTTTTTTAAAAAAAGATTTATTTATTTATTATGTATACAACATTCTGCCTCCATGTATGCCCGCACGCCAGAGGAGGGCGCCAGATCTCATTACAGATGGTTGTGAGCCACTATGTGGTTGCTAGGAATTGAACTCAGGACCTCTGGAAGAGCAGCCAGTGCTCTTAACCACTGAACCATCTCTCCAGCCCCCAGAATTTACTCTTAGGTTAGTAGATAACTTTTCCAAACTACTAAGAATCCCCTCACATAGTTAAAGTCTGTATTTGTCAAAGTAGAATAAGTAAAACTGAGCTGTATGTAACCTGTCTTTATGTAAGGAGCTTACCCATAAAGTAAATCCTACTAATTTTCTTGTTAGTGGAAGAAAATAAGTATAATAAATAAATACATCTGCTAGATTGTTGTGGCCCACACCTTGAATCCCAGCACTAAGGAGGCAGAGGTAGGTGGATCTCTGTGAGTTCGAGGCCAGCCTGGTTTACGTAGCGAGTTCCAAAAGAGAAACCCTGTCTCTGGTGGCGCATGCCTTTAATACCAGCCCTGGGGAGGCAGTGGCAGGCGGATCTCTGGAAGTTCGAGGCCAGCCTGGTCTAAAAGAGCTAGTTCCTGGACAGGCTCCAAAGCTAGAGAAACCCTGTCTTAAAACCCCCACCCCCAAAAGAGAGAGAGAGAGAGAGAGAGAGAGAGAGAGAGAGAGAGAGAAACCCTGTCTCGAAAAACAAACAAAAATAGCAATGATTTTACTTTTTAAAAACAAAGATTTCTGTCTTTATTATGCATATTACCATGTGCTTGTCAATACGTGCCAAAAGAAGGTGTCAGAGCCCCTGGAGCTGCAGTACAGCTGGTTGTGAGCTGCCCAGTATAGGTGCTAGGAACCAAACTGTGATACTCTGGAAGAGAGCAAGTGCTCTTCAACTACTGAGACATCTCTCTACCTTCCAATCTTACTTTAAAGCAAAAACAAAAAACTTACCCTTAACACCTTTCATCTGAAAGCTCACAGGTATACATCTCCTCAATAGCAAGCTCCATTCCCAGGCTGATCAATACCTATTCCACCATTCAGTAACTTGGAAATTTTAATAAGTAATTGTGCTTCTCTTCTTATTTAATTAATAGAGAAATAAGTATTTACTTCATAGTTTTCTTGAGTGATTAATATGTAACTGGCTTGTGTAAAACATTCAGAACAATAGCCACATCTAAATGCTAACATCTACTAGCTAATCACATTAAATTTTGTTTCAAGCCCATTATATTCTTACAATATCCTGTGTCTGTTATAGTAAATTATATTCTTAAAGATTACAAAAACTTGATTCACGCCGGGCAGTGGTGGCACATGCCTTTAATCCCAGCACTCGGGAGGCAGAGGCAGGCGGATCTCTGTGAGTTCTAGGCCAGCCTGGTCTACAAGAGCTAGTTCCAGGACAGGCTCCAAAGCTACAGAGAAATCTGTCTCGAAAATCTAAAAAAAAAAAAGGGGGGGGCTAGAAACATGGCTCAGAAATTAAGAGCACTTGTTGAGTTCAATTCCCAGCAACCATATGGTGGCTCACAATTATCCATGGTGAGATCTGGTGCGCTCTTCTGGCATGCAGGCATAACGCTATATTCATAATAAATAAATTTAGTATTTTAAAAGGTAAGGTGAAGTGCGCGCTCAAATATAAAAAAGGGCTTCTCCAGTCTCCTCCTCATAGTAGCAGCTTCTTAGATACCTTTTCATCTATCACTTCTGGCACACTACCAAACTGTCAGAAGAAAGTGGGTACCACACCTGTTAAATCTCAATTTGTTCATACTTTTACAATAAGTAAACTTTGTCAAGGTTGCTAAAACTGTTGATGTGGCTTGTCTTAGGAGTCTTTTTCCTTCCCAAGAGTAAAGGAAAAGATTGAGGTTTCCAGTACTCTGGAATGTGGATAGTTGAAGTATTAGTTTAGTATGTTTAAATAATGGGAGGAGAGACAAGAAAGTGCTAACAGACTCTAATCCTAACGTAGCTCCTGACATCAAATAGAGAAAAATGATCATCTACCTTTAGAAGTTAATGAGTGCAGCCTATGACATTAAACTAGGTGGAGCAGCACACAGCTATAGTTACAGTTATTCAGGAGGCGGAGACACAAGAATCCCTTTGGCCCAGGAGGTGGAAACCAGCCTGGGCATAATAGCCTGAGTCATTCTTTAAAAAGTGAGAAAAAATAACTTTAATCTGATAAAGTAAGAGCCAAGTCTACCAAAGTTGAAGAACTGCTCCCCTTCAGACAGAAAGACTCAAGAGGTTCTAAAAATTCTAAACCTTCAGGGAAATGGGCATAATAACCAAAAACACATTATACAGATAACCATTTTCTAAATATAAATGGAACTGAACCAGAGAATCAACAAATCTCTAAAAGTACTAATGCACTTCAAATTTGAATCAACAACTTTAAAATAAACTGAAAAGTTCAATTCTCCAATTCATTGTAATGTTAACCACCCAATTCAATAGAAGTTAGGACTTAAGCAGTATAAAAAAAGATTAAGACTCAATTCAGCCGGGTGGTGGCGACCACACCTTTAATCCCAGCACTCAGACGGCAGAAGCAGATGAATCTCTGAGTGCCAGGATAGCAGGGGGTTAAACAGAGAAATCCTGTCCCGAAAAACAAAAACAAAATCAAACAAACAAATGACTGTTAATTTCAAATTTTAAAGTGAGATTCCTCAAGTTTATCCATGTCCTAACAATATTAAGTTCACACTATCTGACATACATGGTGAATTACTTACAAAGTAATTTTGGGGCGATTTCATCTATTAACGAGCTGGTTACCATCTAAACTGAAAAGCTAGTTATATCACTGAATAGTCAGTAAGTATCTAACAGCTTGCAAGACACTTTGATTCAACTCACCCTCCAGTAGAGGCCTTTAAATCAAAGCCACTTAAGTACTTAAGACGAAATGACTTAGCGGAGGTAGTGGGATTTGAAGCTTCCTTTCAGGAAATAGGAAAAGTCAGGGATGGTGACAGACAACTGCAATCTCAGCGCTGAGGAGATCGAGGCAGCTTCGGGTTTGAGGCCACCCTGGACTACAAGTGACCCCGTCTCAAGAAAAAAAATTAAAAATAAATAAATAAATAAAATCGTCTTCACTGACATCTTACGAAAGAAGGTAGAAAACGCGTTATTTATTCAAAGTTTAACACACAGTACTTTATAAGTAAAAGCCCGATTTAAGTTTGGTAAGCATTTCTCAACCGAGCCCGGCGTGGTGGCGCACGTCTTTAATCGCAGCACACGAGCGGCAGAAGGAAACGGATCTCTGAGTTTAAGGCCAGCCTGGTCTACATAGTGAGTTCCAGGACGGCCAGGGCTACACAGCGATACCTTGTCTCAGAAAGAAAGAAAGGAAGAAAGCTAAACCTGTCAGGCTTCGCCAAAGGGAGACCAGTTTGCACAAAGCCTATATCAAGTGAAACTACTGACCAGGAATGCCTGCCCTGCTCAGGTCCTCATCTAAATGGCTTTCTTTGTAAGAAATCTCCAAATCCGGAGCCCGGCCTTAGCGACAACAAAAGCTCTCCCCACCGCAGCACCGCAGCGACTCCCTCCCGTCTGCTGCACCTCGCTACAAACTGTCTGGGACAGCAGACGAGGGAGTTCGACGCAGACCTGGCACCCACTGTCTCAGCCTTCCCCGTCCCTCCCCTCTCGCTAAAGGAAAGCCCGAGCCACATCACCGTCTACACCATCAAAATCCTTCCCGTTCGGCTACGGAAAGAAGAAAAAAAAAATAGAGAGAAATGTACCTGTAGAGCGTTTGCGGCACAGCCAACAAGTCCCAGCTCGGAACCCGCTCCCTTCCCCTTTCCGTTACCACGCCAGCCCTCCCTCCTTTTCCGTGTCAACCCGGCGGCTCCTCCGCTGGCGACGGCGCCCCGGAGGCCCGCAGAGCTCCCCGGGGCGCCGCGCAGGCTCCCGCGAGGCCCGCCCGCCCGCCCGCCGGCCCGCGCCAGGCCCGGCTCCGTACCATTCTCCTTACGGGGCGGACTCCGGAAGGGCAGCGGCTCCTCCTCCTCCTCCGCGGCCTGCAGCCATCTATCGGAAAGCGTCTCCGGAGGCGGTGGCACGGGCCACCGAACAAGGACAGCCCCGGGAAACCTTCTCAGAACTAACTCAGCTCCGGCGCTAGCAGCAGAAGTCGAGTCTTTCATAATTGTGCGACCAGCTCCGCCGGGTGACTGGCCACAGGGACGCGCCCGCGCCCGCCTCCGCCGGAGACGGGCCGAGGCAGCCACGTGACGGGCGCGTCGACTGCGTCGCGCGGAGGGCGCGTCACGTGAAGGGCGCGCTGACTGCAGCCCACGCCGAAGCCCCGCCCAGCCTCCGGGAAGGGCCGCGCTGCCGCTTTCCCGGTGCCGCCGGCTTCGGCTTCCCTTGCCCCGGCCTGTGCGAGAACGTGTTCCGTTTTAAGAAGCCCCCAGGGGCCGGACAGTGTTGGCGCACGCCTTTAATCCCAGCACTCGGGAGGCAGAGGCAGGAGGATCTCTGTGAGTTCGAGGCCAGCCTGGTCTACAAGAGCTAGTTCCAGGACAGGCTCCAAAGCTACGGAGAAACCCTGTCTCGAAAAACCCCAGGGTTCGCCAGGCGCAGCTCCCACGGCTGCACCGCACGCCTGTCGCTTTTGCACTCCACGTTGCTTAATTGTGATCGCTTCCCGAACGTTCCTCTTTCCCATCAAGGGTGCAATATGTTTATTATTTTATCTGTTATTAGTGGCTTATTTTATTATTTTAAGCGCATGTGTGACTTGCCTGAATGTATGTCTTGTGTACCATATGTGTGTAATGTCCTCAGATCCCCTGATCTGCAATTCCAGACAATTAGTGGTTTTTGAGTCTCTTGTAGCCCAGGCTTCTGGCCCCAAGTGACCTTAAACTCTGGATTTTGCTTTTTCTCCCCAGTGCTGGGATTACAGACGTTTGCCATCCTGAAATAGTTTTTTAAGGCTAGGAGTAACGGTACATGCCTGTAGTTCCCAGCATTCAGAACGCTAAGGCAAAAGGATTCCAGTCAATTCGAAGCTGGTCAGACACCGTCTTAAAAACACGAAACCAAACCTGCTTTTGACACGTCTTCTTTCCGCTCTGACAGATTTAAAGGCTCCTCGTCTTAAGGCTCGATTTTGCCTCTATCTTCTCTCTTTAATTTTTTTTACATCAAAAGCCCGATGTGATGATGCATGCTTTTAATCCCAGCACTCTGAAGGCAGAGGCAGATGAATCGCTATAGGTTGAAGGTCAGCCTGGTGTACACAGCAAGTTCCAGGCCAACCAGGGATACATACTCCCCACCCCATTTTGCAGGAGTAGGAGGAAAATGTTTTAATTGCAGACCATGGTGGCACATGTCTCTAATCCTAGCAGTTGGGATGTTGAGGAAGGCACATTTCTGCTTTCAAGGCCCACCTGGTCTACATATCAAGCTCCAGGCCAACCAGGACTACATAATGAGGACCAGTCTAAAAAGAAAAAAAGAAAAGAAAAACTTCTAATATATATGTTATAATAGATTTCCAGTCCAGATTTCAGGGGGTCTTCACTAATTTATGCAATCATTCAATAAATAAATAATCTTTGTGATTTCAGATGGATCTTTACATTTTGTGCCTGTAGTGGCTTTATAGTCTAGGAGATAGGACAAACAAGAAAATCAAAATATAGTGAAATGGAAGCACTTAATTTCTTGGGAACGTGGGGTCTTTTTGTCGCTGCAGCAAATGTTTCTCTCCTTTCCTGCATGATGTAGAAATAAAATGGTAAGTAAGTTCAGAATTCTGGTAAACTGAAAACCTTCGAGTGGGAAATGGTGAGCAGGAATTCTCTTTGGTGGAACTAACCAAAACATTTGAAATATTCAGACATCAGACAGCCTGGAAGTTTATTCATGCTCACCAGAAGGCATTCTGAAGAATAATGTATTAAATAAAAATATTTATTGAGTGCCTTAAGAATGTGTCAGGCAGAGCTGGGTGTGGTGGCACAGAAGGCAAAGGTACTCTGTAGGCTGAGGCAGGCAGATCTCCGGGGCCAGCCTGTGTATGTGAGGCACAGTTGTATTCGATGTCAGTGATTGTTGTAGTTAAGGTTTCTGTGATGAAACACCATGACCAAAGCAGCTTGGGGAGGAAAGAGTATTTGATGCACAGCTCCATAGAACAGTACATCGTCCAAAGCAGTGTGGGCAGGAACCTGGAGGCACGGGTCGATGCAGAGGCCTTGGAAGGGTGCTGCTTACTGGCTTGTTCCACATGGCTTACTCAGCCTGCCTTCTTATAGAACCCAGGAACACCAGCCCAGAATGGTACTACCCACAATGAGCTGTCCCTCCTCCATCAATCGCCAATAAAGAAAATGCCTTACAGGCTTACATAGAGCCTGATCTTATGGAGACATTTTCTTTCCTTCTTTTCTTCTTTTCTCCCATTTTCTTTCTTTTTCTTCCTTTCTTTTTTATATTATTTTTAATTTGACATAATTTCTTCATTGATTCTTTGGGAATTTCACATCATGTACCCTCATTCTGCTAACATCTCAGTTCTCCCATATCCTCCCCTCCCCCTGTAGTGCCACTCAAACAAAAACATTTTTTAAAATATTTATTTATTATTTATTTATTTATTTATTTATTTATTTATTATGTATACAATATTCTGTCTGTATTCTGCAGGCCAGAAGTGGGCACCAGATCTCATTCCAGATGGTTGTGAGCCACCATGTGGTTGCTGGGAATTGAACTCAGGACCTTTGGAAGAGCAGGCAATGCTCTTAACCACTGAGCCATCTCTCCAGCCCCCACAAAAACATTTTTTAAAAATCAAACCAAAACAAGCAAGCAAACAAAAATAAGACAAACAAAACCAAGAAGAAAGTCTTTACTCGTCCATCTTCTCTCCAACACCTCTTCACTGTCCCAGCAGCACTGGGAGCTGAGGTGTGTCACACGGTCTACCCTCTTGTCCAGTCAACTTTATTTGCAAATGTTCCTTGCAATGAGTCATCAGTCTGGTTCAAGGCCTCTGGGTTCCGGTACCCCATCCGCTCTGGATCCTCACTAGAACTCCTCTCTGATATCCCAAGGCTTTCCCAAGTTGTGGAGATTCTACAGGTGTCTTTCCACAGGACAAGTCCTTCACAAACTCCAGTAGGTCCAGGATAGGGTAGAAGTCAGGGTGGGTCAACCCAAGGCCCAGCTGTGGGCCTGGATGGTAGCTGAGTTGGTCAGTCCAAGCCACTGGGGCAGCCCAATCTCGGGTGAGGGGCGGAGCCAGCTCCCTACACCCATGGAGATGGTTTCATAATTGAGTTCCCTCCTCTCAGGTAACTTTAGTTTGTTGTGTTAACAGGTAACTATCCAGCACAGTGAGCAACAAGACTGATGAGCTGATGCTTCAGAAAATGTTAGTAAACAGTCCTTTCTCCAACACCTCTTTCCTTTAGCTCTTCCATTTTGGTCAATGGCATGTATGTTTCTCATCCTCACTGCATCCCATTCTCCTCCATACCCTTGCCAATTATTTACAACAGTTCGATTCAGGGTTGGAGAGGTGATTCGGTGGTAGAGTACTGGCTGCTCTTTCGGAGGACGCAGGTTCAATATCCAGCACCCCCATGGCAGTTTATAGCCACCTGTAACTCCAGTCCCAAAGGATTCCACTTCTTCTGGGCTCTGTGTGCACCAGGTACACTGTGGTACACAGACAAAACACCCATACACATAAAGTAAAATAATAATTTAAAAAATTAATAAAGCGTTTAATTCAAGAAAGTTTTCATAAGTTGACAAAATGGTTTGGTGGGTAAAGGCGCTTGCTGCAGAAGCCTAGAGATCCGGATTCCTTCCTGGATGGAGTGTTAAGGTGGAAAGAGAACACACACATACACACACAAACACACTAAGAACACACACACACACACACACACTTCCTGGACAGAGTGTTAAGGTGGAAAGAACACACACACACACACTAAGAATTTTAAGGATGAGCCTTCTCTCCAGCCCACTCCTTATCGTCCTGTACTACAATCATAATCATAATAACATGTTTAGAGGTGGTTCCTTGGGAGGTCTTTAGGTCATGGCAGGGCACTGACTTTCAGATACCTGGCGTGGGTTACTCTGAGAGTGAGTAGTGCATAAGGATAGTACTGAGTGAGATATGAGATGAACGAACCCATGCTGACACCATGTTAGCTAGCCTTGACAATGCCCTCAGTGTTTTTACCCTACGGTTGATAATCTCACATTGACCTCATGTTCTCAATGGGGTGTTGTAGAACTATCAGTGTGTGACTTCTGAGGCCTGACCACAAAGAATGCTTTGGCTTCCATCTTGATTGCTTAGATCACTCCTTCAGAGAGAACTAGCTGCCAAGCTGCCCTTCAGAGAGTACACCTGACAAGAACGAAGGCCTCCCTGCCAGTAGCCTGTGCCTACTTGCCAGCCATGTAGGTAAGCCACTGTGGAAGGCTTCAGCCCCCTCATTAACTCCAAAGCCTCTGAGAGGAAATCAGCTAAGCCATTCCCAACATTCTTACCCTTGGGAACGATGAAAACTACTGTTTACTGTTCTTATAGGCCTCTAAATTTTGGGATAATTTATGTAGCAATATCTAACTGATAAAATTACGGTATGACCAAATCATTATTTCATGGTAGAATCTAATCACAACTGGGAGATGTTGGGAAATCATCAAAGCACTTGAATTACAATTGAGTCTTGTGAAAATATACAGAAAAAAGGGCATTCCCAGACAAGAGAATACGTAGAAAGGCCTAACCAACCCACACCAACACTTTTAAGTGGTTAGAGGCCTGGGATTCTCATAACAAGTCTGAAAGCATTGCCCAGGATGAATGGAATAAGGATTGCACTTTAAGTCACTCCTATACTGGAAATTCTTCAGTGGCTCTTGTAGCTCTCATAAACAAGTTTGAGTTGGGCATAGTGATGCACACCTTTAATCCCACAATTTGTGTACCACTTTTTTTTTTTTTCGAGACAGGTTTTCTCTGTAGTTTTTGGTTCCTGTCCTGGGACTAGCTCTTCTAGACCAGGCTGGCTTCGAACTCACAGAGATCTGCCTGCCTCTGCCTCCCGAGTGCTGGGATTAAAGGCGTGCGCCACCACCACCAGGCTTAATCCCACAATTTGTAAGGCCTCTAGAAGCAAGAGGATCGCTGGGAGTCCAAGGCTAGCCAGGGCTACAATAGGGAGATCCTGTTTCAATAATACATA